TATTTATGTGAATGAGGTTTCATAAAAACACGAGGCGCGTCACACGTGTTATGAATACCGGAGACTTTATGAAGCCAATGCATCAGCGTTTAGACATAAAATCAAATTGGCACCACCAGCTTTTGGGAGCTGATATGACTTTGTATTAATGTCTCTTCATGAGAAATATATAACAACGTTTTAGAATTTCAGCTAGAATTTCATGATGAATAGCCTACTGCGGATTTTTATTATCAATTCCGTAGTCTTAAAATACCACTAAAATAGTTGTCATCATTTGGGTTTATTCAAAAAAGATGACAAATACCTGATTCATAACAATATTGTCCCTAAAGTTTTCTCAGCTTAAAGCTGTACCTTTAGACAGGAAACTCTTCAGACCCACTGCAGAGGGAACTTGATTTGGGAGCTAAACTGATCAATTCAGGACAATATATATTAAAATAATAGCTTTATAGCATAAAGGACAAATGCAAAAGGGCCACTCAGTTTCAACTATCCTGCCAAACTAAAAGGATAATTTAAAATTAAATGAAAAAGCTGAAGTAGTGAAAACTTCAAAGAAATGGTGACCAGTTACAACATACATACATTTTCGCTTAAACAATTACATTCGTCTCGCTGTTGAGAAAAAGTTCACATCCTTCAGTTATAGTGTACTTCTGCTTTATATAGTCTACACAAGCACATCTGCTGGGTCAGCCATCAGACAAGGACTTCATGGGGAAATTAAAACATTTATTACTCCTTAACATCATTGGAGTTATTAATATTGATCTTAAAACATTAAAATAATTCCAGTGATGTTGATCAGAGAAATGACATGAGCCATGCCTTTTCCATGCAATAAAATTAAAAACCAAAAAGCATTAAATTATGAAACAGCCCGTCCTACTGTTTTATTGTCCCTCAACAAGTTACACAAGTTTCTGTTTGACAACTGCACGGCGCCTGGACTCTGTCCACATATATAAACCTTACCTAACACTCACTCACTAGAGGTGAATACTGAGGACATAGAAAACAGTAACAGTATAAGATGTCAAATGTCCGTCTCACTTTTCTTCTGTATGCAAATACACAATAATGGCAGTCAAAAGGAAAAGAGACATGATGGTAGTGTCTCTCCTGCGCACTCAGACTATTTTAATTCATTTTACTAGCTGGTTAGTCTGGTATTATTTTGCTAAACACAAAGCAACAGCATCCTGGTAAGCAACCGTGTCTCTCTCTGCGTAAAAGGCAGTGATAATAAGAGAGACATACCTAATTCAAGTTGCCACAACAGTCACCAGGCACAACAGGTTATGACACACAGCTAGTGCCTGTGATAGTTCTCAGTCACAACAGCGATGCTAAAAGTAAAAGATTGAGGTCTTGAGTGAAGATGTCCAATGATAGCCAGAGGCAGCTGGAAAATCCAAGAAGACGGTTACGGATCGAGAGACTGAGATTGAGGAAATCCAAAAGGCATCATGTAGCCTCAGGGTGAGATTAAAAAGTGAAATAATTTTCCAAACACTTTCTCCTATCCCAGATTAATAGACATGAGCTCATCTGAAAGCATGTGCTGGAGATTTACTACTAATCACAGAACTGGCTTTACTAACAAGATGCGCATGACAATCGCATTCGATTAATCGTGCAGCCCTAGTTCATAATAACACACCCTTTACTCACCAAGGTGCCGTCATACTTGGGTTTGGACTTCATATGTGGAATTGTGTGCATTACAGTCATTTACATTTAGCATTTAAATTATATATATATATATATATATATTATATACACACACATACACAATTAAATTCTATATATAATTTTAACTAAAATGAAATGAAAACGGAAAACATAAAAAAATGGATAATATTAAAAAACACCAACAGTATCTCAATGATACTAAAATAGCAAAGTATTTTCTCTTTTTTTAGTGTTATTTTAAAAATGATTGAATTTTGATTTGAACTTTTTGTTATTTATAATAAATACAAAATGTCAATTTGACATTTATTTTAAACATAAATATTACAAATAAATATTTTTTTTATTAAAAAATCATTTAATTTTTAATATTTATTTTATAAATAAACCATCACAATAAATCATTATTTATTATTATTTGCTTTTCATCAATTTAGAAACACAGTTTGGAGAAATGTTGTGTTAATTTCTTCAGCCATTTTTAATTTAGTGTTCGTCTTAGTCTTTTTAGTTATTAACATATTTAGTCAAACTTGTCCTGTTTTTGTTTAGTCAAGTTTTAGTCAGTGGAAAACGGTCACATTTTCGTCATGCTTTATAATAGTTAAACTGATTTTAAAAACTTGCTCAATTATGAATCGAAAAGATTGTCGTCATTTGAGAAAATTATTTTTACATTTCAGGAATTGCACTTTCACCAGTAAGCACAAATCTAGTCCTCATCTAGTGCACGGGTTTATTATAGGCTATTTAATATATGAATTAATATCAAAGACTTAGATATGCACTCTCTCTGTCTACATTATGAAAACGTTAAAATGTTACATTTTAACAGTAAAATTCCTAATAGTAATTCCAAATTGCAATAATGTTTCTCTATTAAAACAACAGCGGTTGAGTAAGTGCATTTATTCAGTGAACACAATCACAAACGAAACAGTGGAGATCAGATCGAGCTCATTTAAGCTGAACGTCTCACATGGAGATCGCTGAACTGTAGTTTACTCGCTCGTCGGATCATCGTCGGCGCTTCTGTGATGAAGAGCGAGCGCAAAAATACGCAAAACACAGAGCAGAAAATGTATCCTTTTAACAGTGAAGCTCTGATTTGCAGATTTGAACTCTTGATATCTGGCAACCGCACATATGAAAGCTCGTATAATATTTTCTCTCTTTTTTTCCGACGAAAATTAAAAGTGTTACGTTTTATAATACATTTTAGTCTTTTTTCGTCAATGATATTGCATGTTGATGTGTGACCCTGGAGCACAAAACCAGTCATAAGGGTCAATTTTCCGAAATTGAGATTTATGCATCATCTGAAGGCTGAATAAATAATCTTTCCATTGATGCATGGTTTGTTAGGATCGGACAATATTTGGCTGAGATGCAACTATTTGAAAATCTGGAATCTGAGGGTGCAGAAAAATCTAAATATTGAGAAAATCATCTTTAAAGTTGTCCAAATGAAGTTCTTAGCAATGCATATTACTAATCAAAAATTAAGTTTTGATATATTTACAGTAGGAAATTTACATAATATCTTCATGGAACATGATCTTTACTTAATATTCTAATGATTTTTGGCATAAAAGAAAAATCTATAATTTTGACCCATACAATGTATTGTTGGCTATTGCTACAAATATACCCCAGCGACTTAAGACTGCTTTTGTGCTCCAGGGTCACATATGTATAAGACAAGTTTGTACTAGGGCTGTGCGATTAATCGAAATCGAATCGAAATCGCGATTTTGGTGGGATGTAATCTGGCAGATGGCAACCAATAGAACAACAGTAATTCCTATTGGAATAATGCCCAAAACAAAAAGGAATTTTGTAATGGTTTAATGGAAACTATAAGAATTTCTGTGATAGTTTCTATTGTTTTTTTCAGCAGGGTAATGATACTCATACTGTGCTGCACATTATTGGCAATATTGAGATGAAGCTTGACTTCGCAAATTTAAAATCGCAAATCAAATCGCAATCGCAATATCTGTCAAAAAATCGCAATTTGATATTTTCCCCCAAATTGCACAGCCCTAGTTTGTACCAGATGTAGTTGTAGTTCATGCATTTTTTTCTGCAAAGATATTTAACAAGTGATTTGTTTGAACAACTTCAAGTGTGCTGCACTTGGAATAGAATTTATTAACTAGATGGATAATAAAGAAAAAAAAGTTACTTGAATCATGTTGTAGTTACACTTTCAAATTAAAAATACACTTTCAAGACTAGTTAAAAAGCGTAAAAAAAAAAAAATCGAGAATCGGTCAAACGTTCTGAAAAAAAAAAAAAATCGAGATTTAAATTTTTTGCCAAATCGCCCAGCCCTAAGTCACAGTTATCGTTTATTGACCTTACTGTCGTCTCGTCAACGTCTCGTCTTAGTCATGGGAAAAATGCATTTTTCGTTAACGGAATGAATACTAGTTCGTGAGCGAGTTATGAAAGTTGTACGTTTTTGTTTCATAAATAATTGAAAGACATTCGTTATTCATGTAGATTGTATGGCTGGACTCTTGTATGCACGATTGTGTTCTGTCTATGTGTTACCGTTAATGTTATCACAGTAGTAAAAGTGCTCGATGTTGAGGGAGGGGCAAACGGACACCAGCTCCTGAAGCCCCGCCCCCGTGATGAGCAGACAGCCGGAGAGATTGAGATGCAGCAGCAGAGGGAGTCCTCCTCGCTGAGACAGACACCTGCCACAAACACACAGAAGAGTAGCATCATGACATCTTTAATAATGTTTTATATCATTTAAAGAGTTCATTTATTATGTATACTGCTTGTAATACAATTCACTGTTAATTGTTTCATAACCAGCTTTGTTACTGTTACCTAAAACAATTAAAAAATGTTTTCATTAATTAAAATACTTAAAATAAAATAAATGAATGTGAGAAAAAAGATTGTAAATTTTTTTTTGAAAAAATTTAAACTTTTTTTTTTTTTTTTTAAATTAGACAATCAGAAATCTGAAATAAATTCAAGCTGAAGTACTAAAATTATTCAAACTAAAACTGAAATAAAAATAAATAACTATTTGAAGAAAAACTAATAAAATTGCTAAAACAAATTGTTTAATAACCAATGTTGCTATTGTTTGCTAAAACTAAAACAATAAAAAAAAATTCATTACTTAAAATAAACTTAAAATAAAATAAAAAAATAAATGTGAGATAAAAAAAAAAAAACTTAAAAAAAAATAATAATAATTTGGAAAGAAATGTGAAACTTTTTTTTAGACAAATCAGAAATCTGAAATGAAGTCCTAAAAAAAAAAAAAAACTAAACTAAACTAAAAGTCCTAAAATTAACTAAAACTAAAGCTGAAATAAAAATAAATTAAAGATGAATATAACTATTTGAAGAAAAACTAATAAAATTGCTAAAACAAATTGTTTAATAACCAATGTTGCTATTGTTTGCTAAACCTATTCAAATTTGTTTTCATTAATTGAAATAAAGCTGAAATAAAATCAAATATAAATATTACGTAAACAACTTAAACTTAAAAAAAAGAAAAAAAGAAAACCTAAGACTATTCAAAAATAATTTCCGTAAAATGAAATAAAGCTGAAATAAAATATCCGACAAATAAAATAATCATAATAGAAATATTGCCTTGACAACTATCTGGAATATATTTAAAAACTAAAATGAATATTTAAAGAAAAACTAATAAAATGACAAAAGCACACAACCAAATTGCTTAAAATATAAACAGAATAAAAAAAAAATATATAACATAAAACATTAAAAATACAAAAAAATATTTCTCTCTCTCTCTCTTATATAAAATACTGTTACTTCCCTGAGAACTTGAAAGCTAAATGTCTTGACTTAATTAAATTTTTATTTAACTTTTGAAATAAGGGAACGCATTTAATAGCATATTTGCTTTTACTGACGGATCTCATTTGTTTAAAGAATCATCAGGTATTTCCACAAACTACTTAAACTGTGGCTTTATGACAACAACCCGTTTACGACTAGGGCTTTTACATTGCTGGTAGGTTATCATTGCACAAATTAACACACTCTCTACGTTTAAAAAAGAAAAATTAGAAGAGTTCTAAACTAATGTTTAAATTTGTTAAATTTGAACTAATCTAAATTTTATCAACGTCGCACTTTTCTGCTCAATTTTAAACGTTGTTCTTGTATTCAAATTAAGCGAGGTCCACTGCTGCACACGTGCCACAATATCGATACAGGGACAGCTGTATCGATACTCGTATCGTCAGATCTCGGTTTTTACGACTGTGTTTACGACAGAGCACTATTTACGACTGTGTTTATTTCGTACCTCAGGCCGAGATCCGTGATCTGATAGCATCCGGACAGGCTGAGGAACCTGAGCGCCCGATAGGCTCCTGATTGGTCAGTCCTGTTGTGAAGCTCGGGGCAAGATTCACCCTCAAACGAGCATTTAGTCCGATACTCAACACTGCCCCCTGTGGCCTGGAGGTCACAGCGCGCGTCTCTCACAGTCCAGAGCGCCACGTCGGAGGTACAGCAGGTGGAGTGACCACAGAGGGCGTCGCCCATAGAGCCGTACTGCCAGTAGGAGGAGCTAATACCAGTCCTGAAGCTCCGCCTCCGGCTCCTCCTACAGCAGCACGAGCTGCCACCACACCCATTTTCCTGCACAGACACGCCCCCCCGTTTGCGCCAGTCGACCACATCCTCGATGTCGGCAAATTTGGACGGGTCAAGAACCCACACGTGGGCGGTGCCACAGCCGGAGCCACGCCCACCAGGTCTCCACTTGAAAATGAGATCCTGGCAGCTGCGTCCCATTGGTGGGAGCGAACACTCGTCCTGGAAATTGATGGGAGAGGGCGGGGCTTTCAGCAGCTTGGCTCTGTGATCCGGGCTGGATGTCGTGAAGTCACCCAATCCCAGTGACAGGATCTTCAGTGTGCGGTCCGTGATTTTGTCGCATCCCGAGAGATCCAGCCGCTCTAGAGTACGACACGCCCCGAACTCCGCCCAGCTGGAAAAACACAAACGGATGTGTTGTGAGATTCACGAGGGCAAATGGGCTCCACAAAAAGACACAAATCAGAAGGCGAGCCCACCTGTCAAAGGCAGAGTCGGAGATGTCAGTCAGCGTGAGATCCAGGTGAGTCAGGTTTGGGCACAAACTGAGGATCTGTCGCACCTGGATGGAGAAATCAGGGTATTTATTCACTTATTTAAATGGCGTAATAGCATCAAGGACTAACTACATTCACGGAAAAATAGTTAAAAACAATAACAACATACAATTACATTTATTTCAAAATGACAAATACAACTACATAAAATATAGTTAATTGAAATATAACTCAATTTCATGGAAATATAATATAAAATGTAATATAAATAAAAAATAAAATAAAAATGTATATAAAAATATTTTTATTAACTTTAAAACAACTATTAACTACATTTAATAGAAATATAATTTTTTAAATAAAATAATATAGAAGTTTATATAATTTTTTTTAATTAACTTTAAAAGCAACTATTAATTACATTTAATAATAATAAAAAATTTATAACAGCAGGACTGATATA